TTGCATCTTGTGGCATAAGTTGAGCGTGTTGGGCTAGAGGATCTCTTATTACTCTTGGTGATTGACGTCATCTAGCCGGCACGGAGCTTGTGGGATCGTTGATCATCTTTGGTGATTGTTGTCGGCTCCGATCATTCGATTGTGAGAGGTTCTTGTGCTTATTCCTCGTAGGAGATTCGCAAAAAACAATTCTAGTGAAAATCGTGGCTTGAGTGCCACTCTAGTGTGGTTCTTATGGCGCCCAAGTGTGGGCTTGGCGTGTGATGCCAATTAACACGTGAACCACCTAACTTGGATCGCCACAACATGGACGTAGGTTGCTGGTAAGCAACCGAACCACGGGGATAAATCTTGGTGTTCATATTGTTTCTTGCATGGCTCAGTTTTCATCCTATAACACTCGTATTTACATTCGTACTTGATGTGGTAGTTGCTTGTGTAGCCTAGTGTAGCATAGAGCTAGTAATAGTTGTTTTTACCTTGTTTAGTAGCTCTTGTAGGTGTAGCTTGTAGCAGTAGTTGCTAGCTTGCTTGATTAAGTGAATTCAACCTAGAGATTATAGCAATTAGAATTGTGTAGAGGCTTCCCTAAGGTGAATTAGAGCTAGAACAATATAGTTGCATAAGCGACATCTTATTTACTAATCAAGCTTTGCTCTAGTGTCTTGTGAGTTTGTAGGAAAATTTTATAGACTATTCACTCCCACTCTAGCTATTTAGATCCTATCATCGAGATCGCAAACAAAGCTTTGGCCTTCTTGCGCACCTTGATCACTTCCCATGGCTAATATGGTTTAGTTTTACGCAACCACTACCAACACATCATCCTCGTCGACCTCAATGTATGCCTACCCAAACATGACTTTTTTAGATAAAGGGATCTGACCTCCGATGTTTACAAATTAATGAGTATACCCATTTAGAATAGGCCCATGTTTCTTAGACCATATTCCACCATATGGTGATACAAAGTAATGATATAAACAAAGGAATAAAACTCAAATCCCTATCCTCGATTTTGCCACCCAAACTTGCTACAAAATTCTAGCATCACGACTTCCCGCAAATGACTGCCTTCATTCCCCTAGTGAAGAGAACAAAAATATATCTTGCACAAATTTGAAGCTTGACCACCTAAGAGGTTGGGGTTGCATATACCTGCCAGTCGACGCTGCATGAAGATGGACCTTTGAGGCAACACCTCCAAAGAGGAATACAATGAGAGTCGCTCACCCAAAGACGACGCCGTTGTCAAGATCAATAAGATCACTGACATGGCTTTCCCCTAACACCCCCAAAGCACCCTACCATCTACCCATACATAGAAACAAATCTGCCACCAACACATCGGGAGTTCTACACCTCACCTCAAGGCCATGGCATAGACACCCTCGAGCTCCACAACGAGCCATGGTCCGCAATGCCCGCTACTAGAGAAGTATCACATGATGTCTATGCACCACCACCGATCAGATTCAAGGTCAGGAGTCCTGGATCTAACTACCCCAAGTGTGTTTCCGCCTCTGGCCAAATCGTTGGCTTAACTGAAATGTCCTAAATGGCTAGAGGGGTGAATAACCTATAAAATTTTTTCTTCAAACTCGGTAGAGCAACTGATTAGATAACTAAATGGCGATAAATGTGTTTTGCTCTAGCTCTAATCAAATAGCAAGCCACCTACCAACAATACTAGTGTATTAAGATCACTAAGGCACAAACAGGCTATGTCTCTATTCGCCTAACTAGTGAGCTAGCTAATTACAACTAGAACAACTAGGCTAGCTACACTAACAAGCTACTCAAGCTACTACTACACAAGATATATGAATGTAAATACAAGGAGAGGCATAGAGTGTTATATCGAACGTGGCAAGTGACAATATATGAATACCAAGTGAAAACCAAAGAGCCAATTGACACACAATTTAACCCGAGGTTCACTTTTGCTTGCCGGCAAGCTACGTCCTCGTTATGACGGCCAATTCACTTGGTGGTTCGTGAGCTAATATGTGTACACAAGCCTAGCCATACACAAGGGCGCTACAAGAACCTACACAAGATGAGGACACTTAATGTCACAAGCAATCCACTAGAATGGCTTTTGGCGTTCCGCTAGGGAATAAGCCCAAGAACCCCTCATAAATTACCAGGAGTGGCCACGAACAATCATCAACTCGTGCCAAAGCTCCTCAAGCTGCTCCATGCCGTCTAGGTGGCGGCAACCTCCAAGAGTAACAAAAAAAATACAGCTAGAATGATCCCCAAATGCCACTAGATGAAATCACTCAAGCAAATGTACTTTGGATCACTCCCAACTCACTTGGATGTAATCAAGAGAATGAGTGGGAGAGGTTTGGCTTAGGTCACAAGGATGCAATAATGATCAAAATGTCCAAGAGAGTGAGCTAAAGCTGGCCAACATCTATTTATAGAGCTCCATAGGCTCAAGTAGCCGTTACTCCCATGCAGGGGGCAACTGGATCGGCGCACAGGCTCCGAACTGAGGGGTCTAGACCAAGCACCGCGGGTCCGGTTCCCTGCGCTAGCCAATCAGGAGCCGCCACGTACTCCAACATTTAAACTCGACCATTGTGTGCGCTCAACGGTTACCTACCAGAGTCCGAACTAGACTCAATACTACCCAACCGGACCAAGCGCTCCCACGGTCCGATTCACTCCAGAGAGCACCAGAGAGACCAAAACGGCTCTGGACCTGGTCTGGACCCACCAACTGGACCAAGGGCCACATGGTCCGGTTCATTTTGGCCGCTCTCTGTCTTCGTCAAATAATTCTTTGGACCACGCTACCTCGGTCTGGACGCCTTTGGACCAATGTCTCTGAGTCCGGACACTCTTTGATCACCACCGTCGCGCCACATGGCACAACCGGACCGACGCACCATGGTCCGTTGCCCCGTGCACCAGGGTCCAGTTCCCCCTGGCAGCTAGGGTAAGCTACTGGACCCATGAGCCATGGTCCGGTAGCCCTATTTTCCAGGGTCCTGTTGCCCTGTCCTTCTCCTTTTCAACTTCCAACTTCAACCCTTGTTCTCATGTGCCAACACCAAAGTGTTCCACCACTTGTGCACGTGTGTTAGCATTTTCCAAAGCATTTTCCAAGGGTTAATTGTTAGCACACTAGGTCTTAATGCATATGCAAGTATGACTTCACCTAGTAGCACTTGATAACCGTTTTAACCATGAATTTTTCTTGTTCATAGTATGGCTATCTATCTTAAACCAAATCACACCATCTATGGTGTCTTGATTGGCAAAATAAAATTCCTATTTATACCTTTGTCTTGATCTCCATAGGGTTTTGTTTTTCTCTTTCTTCTTTTCCAAGTTGGAGCCCTTAATCATCATCTTTTGGCCATCTCCATCACCATGGATGCCATCATCTAGCTCTATTACTTGGTGTGTACCAACCTATCTCACATACACTTAGAGCAATGGTTAGTACACTAAGGTTTCATCAATTAGCCAAAGCCAAACTAGGGTTTTCACTAACTCCTACCAACAAGCCGTGGACGGCCATGGGCCTTGACCACCACATATCCGGGTGAGGGAAGCCAAATCCCATTGTTGACATTGAATCAGTGGCCACCGTCACAAGGGCCAAACACCGGCCGCCAGCCCGCATGTGCATGGGACCAAATGCCCCCACTTGTTACCACAGCACATACGGTCGGGAAGGGCTCGTAACTAGCACGCTCACCCGATAGCTGCGCCTGTGTGCTTGACGACCACGCTTGCTAGCAGCACCGCCACGACACGCGGACGCCCCCCCCCATCGCGATGCGCGTATGATCGCTAATGCCACTTTCGGTCGACGGAACCGGGAACCCTGCAGCCTAGATCCGACCACGATGACCTAGATCGACACGAGCTGGTGGCGTACTTCGGGAGCGCCGAGGTGGAGAGGAGAGGAGGGTGAAGGGGGTGGCGGCGCTAGTGTTGTTGCTGGTGACATGGCTAGTCGGTGAACTTGAGTGAAGAGTTCTCTACCCAAACACCTTGATATTGCGCGCCAAAACTTTGCGGGGAGGAAATATGAAAACTTTATAGAAGTCACAAATGCTTTATACTTGACGAATAATTGGGACGTAGGGGATCAGTTTTCTTTTGTTGCTATTTTCCAATAAAATACTAAACGGCGTGCGGGCGAGCAAAGTAATAACCCAAGCAGATTGCAGAAGTGCAGAGGCTAATGCAACCAACTAACGTGGTGCTCATTGAAAACGTGCTACAAAAACACATAGAAAACTGATGAATAACGCAATCGTATGTGCTCGAGAAGGGAGAGAGGCCAATGCAATTTTGCAATATATATAAAACACACAAATCATATACATAAATAAGTAAGTATGCATACGCGCGCGCGTTCAGATGGAGGGTACAATTATAGATACAACAACTTAATTAACACCTACAAATGCACACACAGTGGTGGCAAGTTTAATTTCTTGCGATCAATCGATGAGCAACACCAAATGCTGCTGCAAATGCTGTCGCAAAAGACCTCGCCTTACAGGCAGACAACATATATATAATTGTCACACACATCATACTAGCTGCTAACAGTTGTACTAATCACGATTATTAATAATTATACGAACGTAGAGTAGATTCTTGATCTCGATTGGACACATGATACAACTGCGTGCTTGCGTTCATGGATTATTGGGCCCCGCGTCTTCATCATCAGGTAATTAATTTCGTCATCTGCAGCACGAGTATACAGAATTAAGATACAATGCGCGGTGTGTGTATATATACTAATAACTTTGGTATTCCCTTGCTAATACAATCCATATGTATATGCAACTAGTTAGACTCCTGTACTGAGTAGTGTGGATTATGATGTGTGCAGCGTGCATTTATAATGTGTGTAGCGTGCAGACAGTTAACTGATGGGCAGTTGGCTGCAGCAAGGAATGCACAAAAGCCATGCATGGGACATGAACCCGGAGTTGTATATCAAAAGTTTAAGTTTCCTTCTATAATCTCCAACTGCGTATAACATATATGTTTCAGGTTACGTGTAAATTAGAATTGAAATAATACAGAGATGTGTGTATATTTATTATTACCCGAGTTGGAGGGTTGTTGGTTGCAGCTGATGGGAGTAGTGCTGAGGCTGCTGCATGATGTTCACTTGAAGAAAGTTTCTCGAGTCAAAAGGGACCATGTGATCGTATTCGCTTGTCGACGGCACTCCCATCATGTTCATCGCCGGCTGCCCCGTTTCATTATTCTCAGCAATCTGCAGCATCCATGTGAAGAATTCAGTGTGGTTACAGCTTAAAGATCAGGCAGACTGCCTCAGAACTTATCTGCATGCTCTCAGAGACTGAGATGAAAATGCTACTGCGTTTACATATATACCTTGCTCCTCAGGTACATGTTGTCAGTCTGCAGATCCATCTCCTGAGAATAAAATTTATGCCACATGTCAGTAAGAGCAAGCTAGCAAGTTATCAGGGAAGTAAAAGAACTAGCGTGCAGAGGATTGCTGAATTTCACTAACCCTTTTTTGCATATAGTCAACTTCAGCATATAACAGCTCATTCTGCATGCAAGAAATAACATATTAATTGCTCATCAGCAGTTCAGCACAAAGTCAAAATCATTTACTTAAAGCATAGTATTCCTCATAGGCTTGGATGTATAGCAGCAGCTGCAGGCATTTCTAGCCTTTGAAATAAATTCCAAAAGGCCTACTTTCAATAGGATTTTTTTTGGATTTGTTAGTTCAGGTTCTCTGAAATCCCTGGAGCAATAGTACTCATGCATTTAAATTGGCAAAAGAAGGTTACGCATCTACTCTGCCTATAAAATGTTTTATATATGTACCACAGACATATATAATATCACAGTTACTTAATGCATACCTTTCTAGCTCTAATCTTGCTTATGCCTTTCTCCAGCCTGCCCTCCAGCTGCTTAAGATCCCTGAGGCTCATGGTGTGGATTGAATCTCCCACTATGGTCCTACTAGACCATTTAAACAAGTTAGACTGCATATACTACACAGTTTTTGTTGTTAATGAAGTCAAAACAAACCGATACATGCATATTGGATTTATACAATTCGGTCTAATTTGAATGCCGATACCTGTTTGCGTTTTGCAAGCTACTGATCGTCTGTCGCAGCTTGGCGGACTCCTGCTGGTAGTGCTGCAAGTTTACAGTATGGATGTAACCAGTCAGCAAAGCTTCTGCTTATTGCGATAAATAACTGACCTTATACTGAGTTTAGAGTAGTATAGAAAATTAAAAAAACATGACAAAAAGAATGTTTAGACTTGTTTTAACTGAGGAACTATTCATGATATACTAGCTGACCAGATGTCAAATCACTAGATTTTGTTTGGCAGCACAGATAAGCTCCTAAACATTTCTGAATTTTATTTTAAGTTTAAAAAATTATGCATATAAACTGAATATCTTTGTACAGAATCAGTATGTAGCCACTTCTCAGGATTTCCCCATATGAATACAGACGTGATTTTTATATCGACTACATAATCATGCATGCCCATAAAAAGCAAGTATAAAGAGGGAGCACTGCAGTGTGCAGTCTGAGCGAGGCTCTGAACTTCATATATATACATACAAAAGAAAACATTCGTTGAGGTATGCCATACGATTCAGTTAAGAAAAAATGTAATCTATATGATTGCATGAGGCGTCACTATATGTGATTTCCCACACATCCATAAATTCAGGTAATAACTTTGTCATCAGATAACCATGCATGTCTCATTTTTCTTTCATTAAGCAGCTTCAATAGCATATGAATATTTCATGTGAAGTCAAGGAAATTAACCTCAAAGTCTGCTAGAGTACTAGAGTTGGAAAAGATACGAAATAGATGTAGGTACTGTATCTAATACTGGCCGGTTCAAACTCAATGCATTGACCTTGCATAATAATCCAATCGGTAGTTCAGCTCAGTGTATGCTGAATCTGGGTACTCTTGAATCTGCTTGATATTACATTTATCAGTGTTTAAGAGGTACCAGAGCACATGTGACAGATTTTTGTGGACTTTCTTCTACGCAAGCTATTGCGCACATATTTTGTTTGATTTGGCTAAGATTTTGCCATCCCCGGCCAATTCCCAATTTTCCATGCGTTCCCGGTATAAAGTTGTGAGGCATTGGTCCAAAAGACAGTCCTAGTATGATACGCAGGACTCAGCAGAGGATTCTGCTGGGAGTCGATATAGTACCCATTGTGCAATGCCCGTAACTTTCTGCTCAGAATTTCTTGTCTGAAGATCTTGCCCAGAGGCACGTCGTATGCTTTCTCCCGAAGGAAGGGCAGTAGTAACAGTAAGGAGGAATGTTGACCATGTTTGCGTTTAAGGATTTCTACCTAGGTCTGGTTTAGATTGCAAGTTTTTTCACTCTCTCTTCATCACATTAAATCTTTGGACACATGCATGAAGTATTAAATGTAGATAAAAAAAATAACTAATTACACTTTGATTGTAAATTACGAGACGAATCTTTTGAGCCTAGTTAGACCATGATTGGACAATAATTATCAAATACAAACGAAAGTGCTACAGTGCCAAATACTGATTCCTAACCCCAATCTAAACAAGGATAGCTAGATTTATGAATCGACTAATCCACTCACATCCAGGAGTCAGTTCAGAAAATTGATTGACTCAAAGGATTGACATGATTTTACCTGGGCACTGACTTCTGCAACTGTGCCAGAGTTGGAGGTGTCACTGTTGGCCTTCTTGTACCTCTCAATGGTGGACTTCACACTGCAATATAATGATGCCCACTGTCGGAGTCAGCACACACGCTTGCTAAAGAAGATTAAAGCAGCCACTAGGCATAATCACATGTATCATGTATGTGTGTACATAAACTGCAAACTGTATACAGGTTGTTCAATATCTTCACACTGAAATTAAGAGTCTGCAACAGTAGCTAGTCTGAATAATGCATGCACTCTGCAGGTTCTGTATGACTTCAAGAGTAAAAGGCAAAGCAACGCAAGAGACCGGCGAACAGTAGAATGACATCGTAGAACACATTGGTCCGAAGCCTGTGCTCGCACTGTCAGCAACAGTGCTTTCTTCTTTACCAAGAATCTTGTGCCTGTCGGTGCATGTCCAAACGATACTATAGACTTCAGAGAGCTTCTCTCCGGTAGTAGTATGGGGCTATGGGCCATATATGTAATACTATCGTTGTATATGTGATATGATAAATGATTCCAGACAAATATGTATTGACATCTTCAGTCAATAATGTGTAGAAATGGCTGCAGTTGTTCTTGTTCATGTGTCCTGACAGCATCAATTAACTAACGAGCTTATATTTCCTTTCATCATCAGGGAAAAAGCACAAAATGGCACATCGATACAACTACAACCAATATTTATGTGAAAATTTTCCACTCCCACATGGTTCTGCTGTTAACAAAGGGCAAAAAACGACAACAGAAATCCATACATGCAGAAAAGGTAAAACACAGTGCGAAAAACTAAACACATGCTAAAATGCTTGTGTTGTAAACATAAGAAATGAAGAACTAGATTAACACAGTTACTTCCACATGTTTATTTATTTGCTGTTTTAGAATTTGCATTCAGACCCTCTGGCCTCACGCACGATGCATCACAACTTACATCCTTTCACCCGATTGGAGCATGCATAGGTGTTTTTTTTTGTGGTAAAAGTAACAAGGTGAACAGGTTTAACTAATTCAAAATTACATATATCTTCTCTAAATTTAAAAATATTCAGCAAAAGAAAAAAAAAAATGACATGCTTTATATATATATAAGCTTATATTATTCCTCTGTTACTATACTTCAGATATCTTAATTTTATATTGTTTATTACTACTTCATATATCCTTTTTCTGAGTTTAGTATAAACCATGGGGAACCAAGTTTTTAGTTTGCATTCTTCACATATAAATTTTATATATAAACAAAAATAATTTGTTATAATTTTGAATTTATTGTTGTTTAGATGAAAAATGTTCCTGTTTTCTTCAACAGAACCAGGCCAAGTTTTTTTTGTATGATATTAACACAACAGCAACTATTATATAAGTATAGGAAACTGGACTCCCATTTTTCATGCACTTAGAATACAAGATCAGAGAGCACAGGAGTAAGCATGTTTTATTTTTAAGTAAAAAAGAAGGAGCCAGATTTAATAAATTGAAGAGAACTTGAAACTAAGTGGTGTGCAGACTAGGATAGATTTCTTTAGGAATTGAACTCCAACACTTTTTCAGGAAAATTCTTAGGATACAGATTTGTTAGTTCCATTGCTATTTTCTTAATCAAGATTTATTCCACTGCTTTTATTAGTGTCAGAGGAAAAGAGCATTACACTGTTATTGATGTCTGCATGCATATTTAAATCTAAGACGGTCATATAAATAATAAAATAAAGATGAAGAAGAGCAGGTTGCTAGTAACACACATCAGCTTTATAAACTTCACCAGAGATAAAATAATGAGAAAAGAGAGGGGGAAAGAAAATCGGTTTCCCAACATAGAAACATACCTACATAAGAGATTGATGGAGTATACTAGCCTGCATCTAGGTACCTATCATTGCATAGCAAACTTATCTGGAAAATTCTCAAATGGTCCTATTATTCAAGATCTTTTAATTTGCTTATCTATGCATATGGGTACTGGGAATTGCCCTCTCTGCTCATGTCCTTTCACCGCATCGTTTTGTATGGGACCTTCCACTACGTCATTGAATTGCTTTTATATGTCCACACAGAATATCATACAAAATGGTGCATAAAATACCCAATAAAAAAACAATCAACAGTAATATGCATTAAGCAAGCCAAGAGCTCTATGAGCAAATTAAACAGTAATGCAGTGCAGCAAGCCAGCTATCTCACATCTCTCTCAGACTCGCTCCTCATCACCAAAGAGATGAAACCTTAGCATCCTCGAGTACGCTGTTGGGTGCCCAGTGTTGTTCACGCAGCTGGCACAGGATTTCACATGATTGGGTAGGAACAGTAGAGTGAGCATGCATGTTTTACCCAACGGGCAAAGGAGTGGATGCAGCAAGGCAGGATGGAGCAGGAGCACACACTGCACACTGCACACTGCACACAACACAAGCACACCAGAGCACTCCCTGCCCCTTGGCTTTTACCCAGGCCTTAACCACTCTGACCGAACCATTACTACTCGTGTAGACTCCCAAGACTGTGCAGTGCAGGGTGCAGGCCCAGTGGCAGGCAGGCCAGTGCTCCTTCTCCCCATGCGGCCATGCCATTGGGCGTTGGCTTCCCAGCAGTCTGTCCGCACAGGCCACACAGGCACCAGTCACACACACACAGACAGAACCGGCCATGAGCAAACGGAAAAGGGTTTTCATCAGGTTTTGTTTGCATGCTCCAGCTTCATCCTATTGTGAGGGTTGATACAGTATATGCATCGCCACGTGTCACTCATACCACAAGTGTTCCTAGCACGCTAAAAAAAAGCAGCAGCAGCTGCAGCTGCAGCCATGCCTCTCTCTCTCTCTCTCTCTCTCTCTCTCTCTCTCTCTCTCATCACTGTGGTGGCAGCATCAGGCTGCAGAAGCTGTTTTGCTTTTCCTGCAGCAGATATTATACTGGGAGACAACTGATCCCCAAAAGAATATTGGATGGAAGAAAGAAACATTACAGTACTACTAGTACTACTTTGTAATTACATGTGTATCAATATTAGTCAAGTACTGTTTAGGAATAAAGCGCTGATTAGCTTGGGCCAAATAAGACTACTTTTTTTTTGGACTTCCCGAAGAATAGGAAAATTTATTTTCACTTCTACTCACATGCATGTTATATAGTCCCTCAATTTCAAATTGTAAGTCACTCTGGCTTTTCTATATATATAAATTTACTGCTTATCTAAACATAATATGTATATTTAGATACGTAACAAAAGCTATGCATCTGAAAAAGCCAAAATGACTTACAACTTAAAAAGGAAGGAGTAATATGTACTGCTACCTCCACTGATTAGTGGTTACAAAAAAAAAAACAAATACATTGCTATTCACTAAAAACTAATTTTCTAAATATCATCTAATTTTGTGAAACAACTAGTGAAGTCATAAGAGTAGATTATGTTCAGATGTCCCTGTTCGCATGCCATGTGGTATTGTTGTTTATTACTCCCAAACACAATTCTTCACTCTTAATTTATTTAAAGAAAATAGTGCTTGATTTGCAGACATACAACTACAGTCATGAGAAGCTCTCAGTAAATGATCAGCTAGCTGGTTTATTTGCATCATCGTACTAATTGTGTGTGTTTATTTTATGAAAACAATAACAGCTCCTTATCTGTGGTGAACTTACTAGTTTTTAGTGTACCAAAGAATTCTGTTTTGGGACAGCCATGAACAGAAAAGACTAAATACTCTTCCCTGTGTAGACCAAATGCCAAAATTCACCCACACATGTATACCCAATGACGTTACTGCAAAATGCATGTTTGTGTTTGGCTCTTCTTCAAAAGTAGAGTCTTGGTGCCACTCAGGTGCATCAACAACTCCCGTGAACACACACATGGTGAATTGGTGATGTGATGCGATGAGAGAGAGAGTACTACGAGTATGAGAGAAACTGAGAGAGGTCGCACATGGGATGAAGCCCTTGGCTAGGAACAGAAGGAGATGATGCAAGAGAAACTGAAGAGTTTGCATGGCAGTTCCTTTTTATCAACCTCTCTTCCTTGTTACCTCACACTCATACACGCTTTCATGGACACCTACTCTTGTACCACACCAACTGGTACAACAAGAAGGAGTTAGCAACCCCAAAAAACACCATGCCCCTTGCAGAAGCTAGCTAGATCTGCTTCTACACAAGCAAAGACCAAAAGGGAACCCAAGGAAGAAAAGGAACCTAAGGAGGAGAGACAAGGACGATAGATGGATGCATAGATGCCTTATATTTTTTGTGTGTACAAACATGCTTGATATACATAGGAGTATTTCATATCATGGCCATTCATGGGGTGTGTGAGATCTAAAGGCTGCATGCATCAGCCATCAGCTCCCTTCTCTCTCTGTCTCTATACAGCTGTGTCACACACATGAGAAGCCAGGGAGCTAGCACAGAGAGAAAGGAAAGGGCATAAATACAGCAAGAAAAGAGAGCAGGACCACCATGGCCAAAGAAGCTCTCAGCTCTCTCGCTCTCACAACTCTCAAGATCGAAAGGCCGGCTGAGGACATACTACACATACAGCAAGCTCTGTACTAGATCTGTGCAAACATCTAGCTCACCTCACCTTGCCTCACAGAAGCACAGGGGAATGGAAATACGCAGAAAGGAACTGCGGCAATTTCTTTCCCCTTGTTGCCTCTTCTCAGGAACACCAAAGTAAACAAGACAACATGCAGTTGATATAACAGAATGAAGTCACTCACAGCAAAAGATGCAGCTCCCATTTGACCCTCCCCACGGTTTTGCCTTGAGAAAGATGGGAGCGAACTTGCTCCAATTTGGACATTGCGCATAGTGTGTAGGATCCAAGATACATATACATACATATATGCATATACACAGCCTTTTCAATAAAGTGTTTTGTTAAATATATATGCATCGTGCGCTGAGATTGAGAACTTGAAAATTGAGATGGGTGCCATTTCGCATATATATATCACCTGTTGTTGGCGTACTCGTAGAGGCGGCCGCGGCTGGAGAAGACGATGAGCGCGACCTCGGCGTCGCAGAGCACCGAGAGCTCGTACGCCTTCTTGAGGAGGCCGTTGCGGCGCTTGCAGAAGGTGACCTGCCGGTTCGTCGTGTTCTCGATGCGCTTGATCTCGATCTTGCCCCTCCCCTGCTTGTCGCCGGAGCCCGTCGGCGCCGCCTGCTGCTCTGTCACCTCCGACGGCCCGCAGCTCAGATCAGTCTGAAGAAGAACAGGAAAGGAGCCCAACATAATCAACAAGTCCAAGAAATTCCAATTTTCAGAGAGGGAGGAAGGAGATCGAGTAGGAGACGCGTGTGCATGCTGCTAGCAGTGCGAGCTGTGAACGATGGATCTTCGTGGCTTTCTATATAGTAGGAAATCCTACTAGGCATCTGGGCGCATCAAAATTCAGAAGGAAATAGCAGCGTACACCATTTTCCTATCTTGAATTTTTGCCTTTTGTGGCGTGTCTTTTTTTTGTTATTTTCCAACAAAAAAAAATCTAGAGACCTGAGGAGGCAAGGCAACCATGTATGTATGTTCTAGTTGCCTCTCTAGCTAGATCCTTGCAACATAACAACCAAGATCCTACTACTCCTACACACCGCTATGCAGATGGTGCAAAAGAGAGAGAGAGGAAGCTAGCTAGATGATCTGTTAGTTTCCAGGAGGAGCAAGACAAGGCAGGAGGCAATTTACCATCATGTTGAGCATGGGTGGTGGTGGTATGGCAGTGCCTCTCTGCATGCAGGAAGAGATCCAGAGAGGGAACTGAAAGAGGATATGAGGGGAGGAGCAGGGAAGGGGAAGAGGAGAGGAGGGTGAGGTATTAAAGGGGAGGTGGTGGTGGTGCTGGTGCTGAGGAAGGAAGGGAGGAGAAGGTATGTGAGGTGATGCAGTTAGCAGCAGCTGTATGCAGATACAGCTGTGGCCAATTCCTATGGCCTGCACTTCATTGTTTTGTTTGTTCCCCTGGCCTTCTGATGAATTGCACAAGCCTTTTGATTTACCACTTCTTTGATTGATCCCTCTTGTACGTGTGCTTGCTTGGTGTCAGATCTCCATCTACTTCTGCAGTCAGCATATATGCATGTCAGGCACACAAACACAGTTACCACAAAAACCGTTTTGTATATGGTGAAGCAAGGCTGGCCATTTCTTACTTAGCTCTTTACGGTTTTGCACTTAATTCACCAAGTAGAGTGAAAGAGCACGTACGCTACTACTAGTTCACGTTAGATAATCTACCGTTTTTTGTGTGAACACACAGTAAGGGAAGGCGGCGCCGAAAAGACCCTCTGTTGTGGTACTATAGCTGCTGCAGAGACAGGCGCCGAATGGCTCACCTGCCGCACTGTAGCCATATGCAGGGACAGGCGCAGAAGTCAGTCCTACTGTGTTATCTAGTTACTGTTGCAGCATGTGCGCTGTACTTGGACTAGATGGATAAAGTTGTATAAATAGACTACCACGGCAACTCAGTAAAAAGAGTTCAGATTTGCTATCTCCTATACAGGGCTTCAGCCAACGCTAGTGTCTTATACTGTGTGTGTATGCTCTGTTCTCCCTCTTCTTCAACCTCTAGCCATAGTGTGTGGGGACAGACAACGCTTGTTCGTGGTCGGCTTAGCTAGTGGGTGCTCGGCAACACTAACGGGTGCTCGGCAAGACTGGTGAGTGGTCAACTCGCCTGAGCCGGTGATCCTGTGGGCCAACAAGTGGTATCAGAGCTGTACAAGCGTCGTCGCCAGACTAACCGCTGGTGACGACGGACGGTTCGGAAATGGGCGACAACAGTGGCACTGCTGTGGCTGCCCAGCCATGACCGGAGGTCGTTGTTCGCATGGTGCGGGAGGTCAGCGGCACCAGTTGGCCGACGCTAGACTTGCACCAACTATGGAGAGTGGTCGGTGACCATGAAGGTCAAGCTCAGAGCCCAACTGCTTTGGAATGCTGTTGATAAGAGCACCGACAATGAGGAAGATGACATGTGAGCGTTGGAAGCTATCCTCGCTGCTGTACCAGCGGAGTACAGGGAGCCGTTGGGGGCGAAGAGCTATGCTAAGGAGGCGTTGGAGGCTATTGCGGCGATGCGCGTCGGTTCCGACCGCGCAAAGAAGGCGACCACTAGCTTTTGAAGCAGGAGTACGCCAACCTCAAGTTCAAGGATGGTGAAACGGTGGAGGATTTCTTCCTCCGCCTGCAGACACTCATCAGCAAGCTGAAGAGCCACGACGTCATCATCGACGAAGAGGAGGCGGTATCCAAGTACCCCCACTCCGTGTTGGTAAAGTACATCCAGATCGTTCTCTCCATAGAGACGATGCTGGACTTGTACACCCTCACTATTGAGGATGTGACAGGCTGTCTGCTGGCGGTGGACGAGCGCCTAGAGCAGGCGACATCAACGAAGGACAGCGGTAAACTGCTGCTGATAGAGGAGGAGTGGGCTGCTCGGAGGAACTCTGGGAAGGCAGCCTCCTCCAGCCACGGTGGCGATGGCAAGCTTCGTGGCAGGGCTTCTTCGGAGAAGAAGAAGAAGCAGGTCGACTCCAACGCCTACCGGCGCTACGGGAAGACGGGCCATTGGGCACGGGAGTGCCCAAATCGCAAGCAGGAGAAGAAGGTTGAGGCTCATCTGGCGCAAGCTGATGATGATAATGAGGCCACTATCCTGATGGCGACGTTCTGTGCACTACACGATATCGAGGCCGAGGAGAAGGAAGAGGTGACGACGGTGGAAGGACCTGGGAAGGCCCTGAAGGCTGTCAACCTCGACGAACCACGCGTCCAAGTCCACCTCGGACGTGTGGGTGTCGACCAGGAGCAGCGGTGGTATCTGGACTCTAGTGCAAGTAACGACATGACGGGCTCCAAGGCATTCTTCTCCGAGCTTGACGACGATGTTACTGGTACGGTGAAGTTTGGTGATGGCTCAAGGGTGGCTATCCAAGGGCGTGGCACCATCATCTTCAGGTGCCAGAACAGGGAGCACCGCGCGCTAATGGATATATATTACATCCCGTAGCTGCGTTATAGCATCATCAGCATTGGTCAGCTGGATGAGCGCGGTAGCGAGGTACTGATCAAGGATGGAGTCCTTAGGATCAGGGACCGGGAGCAGCGACTTTTCATCAAGGTGAAGAGGTCCCTAAACCGGTTGTACCTGCTCGACCTGAAGGTAGAGCAGTCGGTGTGCCTGGCGGCAAGGCACACCGAGGAACCATGGATGTGGCATGCCTGGTTCGGACATCTCAGTTTCGACGCGCTTGGTCGGCTGGAGAAGATGGTCCGAGGGCTACCCCACATCAAGCATGGAGGCGAGCTATGTGACAACTGCCTGACCGAGAAGCAGAGGAGGCTAGCGTTCCCAAAGACGGCCAAGTATCGCGCAAAGGATGCTCTCGAGGTCGTCCACGGTGACCTCTGTGGGCTGATCACGCCAGCTACAAACGGTGGTCGGCGGTACTTCCTCCTGTTCATGGATGATTGCAGTCGCTACATGTGGCTTCAACTCCTAACGAGCAAGGACGAAGCGGCGGCGACGATCAAGAAGTTCAAGATGCGCGGGGAGGCCAAGAGCGACAAGAAGCTCTGCATGCTGAGGACTGATCGCGGTGGCGAATTCACTTTAGTGGAGTTCGCTGCGTACTGCACGAATCAGGGTGTGGTGCGACACCACACCGCGTCGTACTCGCCACAGCAGAATGGCATGGTGGAGCGATGGAACCAGACGGTGGTCGGCATGGCTTGATCCATGATGAAGGCCAAAGGCATACCGGCAAGGTTTTGGGGTGAGGTAGTGAGCACGGCGGTGTTCATCCTCAACCGCGCTCCGACCAAGGCCCTAACGGGCAAGACGCCGTTCAAAGCTTGGTATGGGTGCAAGCCGAGCGTGTCCTTCCTCCGGACATTCAGCTGCATCATCCACGTTAGGAAGACGAAGCCGAACCTCACCAAGTTAGAGGACAGGAGCACACCGATGGTGTTCCTGGGCTATGCGGAGGGTACCAAGGTGTACCGGCTCTACGACCCACGCGGAGACAAGGTACTTGTCTCGCGCGATGTCGTATTCGACGAGAAGGCAGCTTGGGACTGGAACAGTCCGAGCATGGGGGAAGTTGGCGGCTTCATCAGCACCTTCGTCGTCGAGCACCTGGTAATCCACGGTGGTGGAGACGCTGGGGAAAAGGTGCCGAGCACTCCAGCGGTAGAGCCGAGCACTCCTGGGGCAGTGCTGAGCAATTCAGGAGGGACGTCGAGCACTCCAGGAGGAGTGCCGAGCACTCCTGGAGGGATGCTGAGCACGTTAGGAGTGGAGCCGGGAGGGTCTGCAGTGGTGGTGACCACTCCAGGACGGGTGCCGAACACTCCCGTGGCAGAGCCAAGAGGTCTTGCAGTGGTGCCAACCACTCCAAGACTGAGGCTGAGCACTCCTACAGTGGTGCCGAGCACTGCAGGAGTAGTGACGAGCTGTCCAGAAGCAGTGTCGAGCACTTCAACCAGGGTGCCGAGCACTCCAGGTGCTGAGCCGAGCACTCCGGTGGGGCAAGGAACTCCATCAATATTGATCGAGTTCGCCTCACCTCCAAGTGACATCACTGAGTTCATGGATGCCTTCCACAAAGGTGAGGAGGTGTGGTTCCACAGGCTGGATGACATCGTCGGCAACACAGGGCCCTCAGGCCTGGCTGGTCGGCTGCTCAATGATCAAGAGCTACTACTCGTCAGTGTTGAGGAACCACCCACATTCGCGCTGGCCGAGCACGACGGAAACTAGCGATGGGCGATACTGGAGGAGATGAAGGTGATCGAGGAAAACGAGACATGGCAGCTCGTCGATCCACCTCCAGGATGCTGTACGATCAGCTTGAAGTGGGTGTACAAGGTCAAGCGGGACGAGCTCGGCGCCATTGTCAAGCACAAGGCGCTCCTCATCGCCCGAGGCTTTGTTCAGCGCGAGGGCATAGACTTTGAGGAGGTCTTTGCGCCAGTAGCGCGCATGGAGTCGGTCCGTTTGCTACTAGCCTTGGCAGCAGCAAAGGACTGGCGCGTCCATCACCTGGATGTTAAATCGCCTTTCCTCAATGGTGAGCTGGCGAAGACGGTCTTTGTCAGGCAACCTCCAGGTTTTGCTGTCAAGGGAGAGGAGCATAGGGTGCTTCGACTGCGCAAGGCGCTCTACGGTCTACGGCAGGCCCTACGAGAATGGAACGCCAAGCTTGACGCCACGCTGGGCGAGCTTGGGTTTCAGCGGTGCGCAACCGTGCACGCGCTCTACACACGGCGACGGGGGAAGGAGGAGCTCATAGTCGACCTGTATGTGGATGACTTGATCGTCACCGGCACGCGCATGGAGGACATCAACGGCTTCAAGCGCGAGATTGCAGCTCGTTTTTGAATGAGCGATCTCGGCGCACTCTCCTACTACCTCGACATCGAGGGGGGACAGGGAAAGGAGGAACTCACGCTCGGTCAGAGCGCGTATGCCTCCAAGCTATTGGAGCGGAGCGGCATGGCTGAGTGCAAGCCATGCGTGACTCCGATGGAGGAGCGGCTGAAGCTGGCGAAGGCCAGCACCACGGCGAAGGTGGATGCAACACTCTACCGGAGTATCATCGGCGACGATCTGTGCTACCTAGTCCACACGAGGCCAGACATTGCGTTCGCTATAGGCTACGTCAGTCGCTTCATGGAGGATCTAGGGAGGATCATTGGGCTGCGGTGAAAACGCTACTGCGCTACGT